GTGGTGCTGGGGGATTGAACCGCGGTCCCTGTGCTTTGCCAAGCTTGTTCCAAGTAGGTGCTTTAGACCACTGAGCCATCTCACCAGCCCCCCATGCCATAAGTTTTTGTTTCTTCAGTTTCTTCTAGAATATCTTTTTCTTCTGTGCAACTTCCTCCTCTGGTTTAGGAACAATTTGTTCCTTGTCAGTAAGGATCATCTCAATACAGCAGGGGTAGCTCATGTATGGATTAATCCAGCCATGAGCTCTATAACTATGGCAGCGCATCTTGGGTGCTTTGTTCACCTGGATATGTTCAGTAACCAGAGAATCTATATCTAAACCCTTAAGCTCAGCATTACTCTCTGCATTTTTAAGCATGTGCAGCAAAAATTCAGCACTCTTTGGGCCACCAACCCTGTGTCCAGCCCCACTGTTTGGCCTGGGCACACCTACCAACTCCACCACTGTAATGCTGGAATGGTACATACTGCTTCTTTAATGTGACATCCTTCAGATACTTGGTGGCCTTTCAGATATGCATACCCTTGATGGCCTGGGCAGTTTCACACATGTTCTTAAAGTGAATGCAAAAATTTGAGACTCTTGATTTGCATGATGTTGTGGAGTCTTCGGAGTTGAGAGAGTAGCAAACCATTTTCACAGGTTACCTCAGGCCGCTCACAGGAAGAGAAAGAGCAATGGTTTCTGGGAGAGTTCATGAGAACGTGACCTCTCGCCATTTAATAACTTTAGCTTTAGGGATAATCAATAATTTGTGCCTTCAAAGTGATTTCAAATATCTGCCTTCCTCAGCCAGGAGTGGTAGTACACACCTGTAATCCCAGCATGTGAGGGTAAGGCTAGAACTCTCCACAAGTTTAAGGCCAGCCATGTCTCAAAAAAAAAAAAAAAAAAAACCCTGCCTTTTTTGTTGTCCGGCCTGATCTGAGAAAGGCCTTCCCAATGAACATGTTGCCCTCTACAAACAGCAATCCACTAAAAGGACCACACTCCCCTCAGCAAACAGCACTGATGCCACTAAGGAAATTTAGGACTGGATATACCATCTACCAGAATGTCCAGCAGTGTCTGCACACCTGCTGATCCTTGGAAGTTTGACCCAAGCATTCCACCCAGATTTCTTGATCAAGATTATAAACTCCATCCCCAAACCTCATGAACTCAATCCATCCTCCAAGCCACCTGTTGATGTCACTCTGATTTCAGCCAGCCTGAACCTGAAACAGAATTAAGTCCAGCCTCTTCCCCACATGAGCCTGTCTCCAGGTGTCTACTCAAGCACCACCTTTAACATTTGTGATTTTTTAACATTATTGATTTTTTTCCACGTCAATAATTTAATTTCCAGCCATGTCTGTTCCTTGGGTTTTTGTGTGTGTGTGTGTGTGTGTGTGTGTGTGTATTAGTACTATAAAGATGGTCTTTGCTTTACTTTTCCTATTTATCAGTTTTAGTTGTTTCATTATCTCTATTTTTTTTTGTGGTTCTGGTGATCAAACTCAGGGCCTTGTGCATGCTAGGTACTCTACCACCGAGCTACACCCCAGCCCTATTATCTCAGCTTTTGAGTTCTTTTTTTATTGAGTTAATTTTCTTTAATAATATATTGTTTGGGGCTGGTGAGATGGCTCAGTGGTCAAAAGCACCTACTTAGAACAAGCTTAGCTAAAGCTCAGGGACTGCGGTTCAATCCCCCAGCACCACATGCCAGCCAGCCCTGCCCCCTGGTGGGCTGAGCTGGCCACACACATGCACACACAAATAAAGTTAATAATAATAATAATAATAATAATAATAATAATAATAATATATTGTTTTAAAGCTAAAAGTACTTGGACTATTTCTTTTCCTTTAATTTTTTTTTTCTGTATTTTTTTAGGACAGAGTCTACAGGCTCTCACTAAGTAGACTGGACTTACAGTGATCCGCCTGTGTTCAGCCGACCAAGATCTGGGGTTACAGGTGCGGCACCACCATACCCAGTCTCAATCGCCATCTCAGGATGCTCTCCAGGGAAGGGCTGGGGATGAACCCTGGCAGCTGAGTCTGCCTATGCAGGTGCTTTAATCCACTGAGCTATTTGGCCAACCCTTCTTTCCTTTTTTTGAGCCAGGGTCTCACTTTATATTCAGGCTGGTCTTGAGTTCACTGTGTAGTCAGGCTGTCCTCAAACTCAAAGCCTCAGCCTCCTTGGGTGCTGGGATTGCAGATGTGTGCCACAATACCTGGCTGGATTAAATTTTTTATGTTTATGTTTTTTTCCTATTGAACTGCAATTTCTGTTACTTCATGCTGCATGCGGTTTTTCTATAATTGATAAATATGCCTAAAGGACAGGAGGGAGTAGAGTTCAGGAGAGGTGATGCGTTGCCTTTGTCACAATCCCTAAATTATGCAATCAACACAGAAGTTTTCTTAAGTGTGCTCCAGAGTTTGCCCTAATGGTGGTGGATACACCCCCATTCCCAGGGAAAATGCAGCTTCGATTCTTAAAAGCTCCTTCAATTCCATATGCTTTTCTGGAACCTTCACTACTACCTTCAAGAGTTGTGCAGATGAGAAGAGGTCCTAAAGATGCAGGTTGGAATCAGAGTCGGGGAGGAGAAGCAAAAAGGATTAAGATGTGTTGTGGTAGAAACTCCTCGTGATGAAGGTAATCATAGTGCACTGCAAACATGGGAACATGTACTGGGGCAGGAGACTAGGGCATGGCAAGGTGGATGAGCAATTGAGCAAGATCTGTCAGTCACGGCAATGTGTTAATGTGTGGCAGAGCAGGAACTCCAGAGCCCTACACCTGATACCAGAGAATCTCGTCTTCTGTTCTGCTGGCAGATCTTCACAAGATCATGCCAAGCCCTGCACCTGATACCAATCTCCTGGTATGCACTCAGGCAGGTTTTTGATGTTGGCTTAGAGCTGACATCAGAGGGGACAGAAAAGGCAGAGGCTCTTAAACTCATAGCTGATATAAGGCTTTTCCACTGCTTACACTTGGTCAGCAGAGTACTTATTCTTTTGCCTTCAGCATTAAACATCCACTTTTACTGATCTGCCCAGTTCTTTTTTTTTTCTTTTAAAAAACAAATTATTCATTTTAATGAGGAAAAAAAGATAAAAAAGCAATGAATGCTCAGTTCTTTAAACAGAAGAGTAAGAGCCCAGAAAGGACCAGCTGGTTGTTAAAATAATATGGATATAAATAAAAATTTGAAAGAAAAAAAAGGCTTATGTTTTACTTCCCATTTCACCTGCCTCACCTCATTAACCATTTTTATTTTTCCAAAGAGAAGAGTAGAAGATATGGACACTTCTACATTTTCTTTCTTGTATCAAGTATGCATCATGTATGTGTCAGTCCTCGCAATTTTATAGACTGAACTTAGATTTTGGTGGGACAAGAAAAGATGGGGGAAAAAAAAGATGGGAAGGCTTGGCATGTGTGTTAACTTGTCACTTGTTAACATTTAAGATATGAACTGCTGCCCACTTTAAACTCCCAGACACTGGTAGAAAGCCTGTAGACAGTTTTATTACATTTTCCTTTTTTAATCAGCAAAGTAGAACAAAATGTGCAAATGCAAGTATGTCCCTCAAAATAACGGTGAACAGAAAAGTTGCAGAGCAAGCTGGGTATTGAGGTACATCCCTGTAATCCCAGCACTTGGGAGGCTGAGACAGGAGCATCGCTCTGAGTTTGAGGCCACCCTGGGATATAAAATAAGTTCAAGGCCAGCCTAAACTGCATAATGAAACCATGTCTCAAAAAGATCACACACACACAAAATAAGAATATAACTTATATTTTCCTTTTCTTGTCAATGCTTGACCTTTCACTAGTAATCAGTAGATATGCATGAATAGATGTCTTTTTTAAATGCACTGGGGATTTAGCTTAGTGGCACACTGCCTACTTGGCAAGAATAAGGTCCTGAGTTTTATTCCCAGTACCAAAAAAGAAAGAAAGAAATGAGGGCTTGGGGATATAGCTCAGCAGTGTAAGTGCCTGCCTGATCTTTTTTATAAGATCTTGAGTTCAATCCCCAGTACTGAAAAAAAAGAAAAAAAAAAAAAAAGAAAAGAAAATGAAACAAATATAAAATAGAAGAAAATGCTTTATTGGGGCATATTTTATATGCCATGTAACTCATGTATACAACCCAAAGTTTTTAATGATTTTTAGAGTTGTGCAATCATTTCTGCATGCACAGAAATGGATTCAGTTATGCCTTTATTTTTATTTTTTTTTCAGAACTCAGGGGATGGAACTCAGGCCCTTGGCAAGTGCTTATTCTACTGAGCTATCTCCTTGGTCCCATGCCTTTAATATCTGTTTAACCTAATCTCCTATTTCTAACACAATGATGCCTCCAGCATGATATATATGGATTTTTTTTTTTTTTGTACTGGAAATCAAACTAAGGACCTCATGCTTGCCATACAGTCATACCAGTGTACTAAATCCCCAGCGATATAGATAGAAGGAACTTTATTTATTTTTTGGAGTATTGTGGAGTACTCAGGAAGCACTACGCTGCATGTTCAGGCCATCAGTCTTTTTTTATTTTGCAACTTTTGACAATTCCTGGGAAATAGTACTCCTGCCAGTAGAGCTACCTGCTTATCATATTGGGTTGGGGTTTTCCAGTCATTTGTATCAGTGATACTGTCTATTGTAATTTAATTTTAAAGATAAGATTCTCACTATGTAGTTCAAGCTACAGAGTAGCTTGTAGTTCAAAACAGAGGTTTAAGAGAAAGGATTAAGTGCAGATATTCAGCCCACTAAGGTTAATGTAGAGAGAAGGTAGAGTGAAATAGAAACTTTTTGGGCAAATGAGTGACATGATCTGACTTATGTTTATAAGTGGTCAGAGTGTTCTGTTCAGAAGAGAGCTAGAAAGTTATTACAGGAACTTAAAAAAGAGATGATAATGGCTTGGAGCTGTGTAGGAGCAGAAGAGGTGTAGGGAAGTGGTCAAAAAGCAGTCCTTAATGTACTAAACAGATTCCTTAAACTATTTTTTGTATTTTTCTGAAGGAAAAGAAGTAGAGATCAGAGATTGAGATGATGAAAGTGGGATGATGAACATAACCCCGGATTAAAGACGGAACAAAGGAAAAGGGTGTGTAGTCAATGAGTTCGTGTTGCAATAATACAGCTCCACTCTCAGACCAGTGGACTTGGATTTATTCCCCCATCTCTCTTCCATAGCCAACAGATGTTCTCACCGTTCGGTCGTAATTTCAATTTCGCTAGCTAAAATCCTATCTTTCCTTCAAGATCCAGAACAAATACTACATCCTGCCCTCACTGGCCTGGCTGGAAACTATGTTTCCTCTTCCATTTCCTACACTGGGCAGAGTTCTTTCTTCCTCTCTTTCATACAGCACTGTCGTTCCAAAGGAAGGACAGTGCAGTGGTGAAGAGCTACCTCTTCGGACTCACCAGTTTGCTCCCCCCACTACCTCAAGTACGGTGAATCAAACTCAGGACCCTGAACTTGCCAAGCAGGGGCTGCACCACTTAAACCAAATCCCTGACCCTAGTTTGCTATTTCTGTAACCTTGGCACCGTCTCAGTGCCTCAAAGATCCTTACCTGTAAAATGGTGAGCCTTGTATGAAGAGTTACTCAGAAAACCTGAAGCACTTAGACTAGTGTCTGTTGTGCAGTAAGCATTCAACCCACCTGAGCAACTGACCAGCAACACCTGTCGGGGCGTGGTCACCTCGGTGCGTGTGGATGCACCTAGAGGGAAAAGCCAAAGGCTCCTGGACGTCTTGCCCCGCCCCGCCCCCGCGAGCGCAGATCCTCCGCGTGTGACCACGCTCACGTGACTGAGCCAAGATGGCGCCGTCCGGCTTTCTGTGGCTCTTGGCTGCGGCGCTCCTACCCTGGTCCTGCCAAGCTCGAGCGCTGGGGAGTCTCGACCCGCCCGCGCCGTTGCCGCTGGTGATCTGGCATGGGATGGGTGAGTGCGTGAGGAGAGAGGCTAAGGGTTTGGCGACTTTCTTCCAGCCTAAGTTCGCGACTGCAAAATGAGCGGGTGGAGGGCGAGCGCAGCGCTTCCACAGCGCCGGACTGGCCCGAAGTTAGATCTAGGGAGCTGCTGTGCTTTGGGAGAAAGGGAAAGAGCTAGCCGAGGGCAGAGCTGAGCAGGACTCCAGGGTCTTACGCTGCAGCAGTGGAGTCAGACAGCTGTGCGCCTGCTGCGGGGCGCATCCATCCCTACCTCGTTCACACGTCGACTGGAGACACTTGTTAGGCACCTGTATTTCATGCATGTCTTTAACATGAAGTGAGCAATTGCTAGGCGTGAGGATACAGAAGTGAACGAAACAGACTAAATTCTTTGTCCACTTAGAGCTTAATTTCCAGTAAGACAAACTAAAGAAATATAATGATATGATAATGTGAAATGGTGATAATTGCAATGGCGAGAAAGCGGGGGCAGGTGAAAGTAGACAGGACGTGCTTGGACTTGTATAGCAGAAAGTCAGGAAAGTGTTACCAGAGAAAGTGACATCGGAGCAAAAAATCCGAAGTGGGTAGGGAAGATGTCATTTAGATATGTATTAGAAGAAGTAGCAATTACAAAGTCCTTGAGACAGAAATATACCCTGTAAGTTTAAGGAACAGCATTTAGATCAGTGTGGTTGGAGCTGAAAGAGCAAGGGAAAGAGAACAGAGGCTTAAGAGAAAGGGTTGAGATATTGAGCCCACTAAGGTTAATGTAGAAAGAGGGTAGAGTGATTTTTTGGGCAAATGAGTGACATGATCTAACTTATGTTTTTAAGTGGTCAGAGTGTTCTGTTCAGAAGAGAGCATAGAAGGGCAGGGAGAATTGCAAGGAGACAGGTTCGAAAGTTATCACAGGAACTTAAACAAGAGATGACAATGGCTTGGAGCTGTATAGGAGCAGAAGTGTAGGGAAGTGGTCAAAGTTTTGATATATTTTGAAAATGGAACCTGTGGGAGTTGTAAGTGGCATGAAAGAGGCCAGAGATGACTAACAGGTTTGGGCCTGGAGAACTAGAAGGAAAAAGTTGTCATTTTACCAAGCTAGGGGAGCCTTTGGGTGGGCCAGCTTGAAATGGATGGTGATGGAGAGTCTGCTTTGGACTTACTGAATTTGAGGTCCTTGTTATGCCTGAGAAATGTCATAAGGGCATCTGAGTGTACATGTTGGAGATTTAAGTTTGCGTGCCTTGGGCATCTGGCTGGCACTTACAGATTGCCAAGATCCCCTGGGGAGTAAATTTGGTATGGTGCTGAGCTCTGAGGCCTTTGGGTATTTGGGGTGGAGAGTGATAGGAAGTAGCCTGAGTTAGTAATAGGATACCCTGAGTGGTGAAAGGAAATCAGGAGAATGTGGTGTCAGGGATGCCAGGTAAAGAAAAAGAAAAAAAAAATATTTCAAAAGAAAGAGAGCTGGACTTGGTGGTATATATCTATAACCTCAGCTACTTTGGAGGCTTTGGCAGTAGAACCATAGATTCCAGGCCAGCCTGGGCAAACTTAGCAAGATTGTGACCCAAATTATTTATTTTTGTTTGTTTTTCTTGAGACAGGGTCTCACTGTGTAGTGCAGACTGGTTTTGAACATACTGTGTAACCCAGGCTGGCCTTGAATTCACAGTGATCTTCATGCCCCAGTCTCATGAATGTTGGTATTCATGTGTATCACCACACTGGCTTCAAAAATAGTAAGAGGGTGTGGGGATGGGAATGTAGCTCAGTGATAGGGCACTTGCCTAGCGCATGCAACCCTCCAGGTTTGATACCCAGTATATCAAAGGGGAAAAAAAGATGTTGTTGCTCAGTCATGTGAGATCAGGGCTGAGAACCGATTATTGTACTCAGCTATATGGAGATCCTTAAACATCTTGACAAAAGCAGTTTCGGGGGGGGGGAGAGATGAGAATGAGAGCTGTGCTAGGTGTGGTAGCACACACCTGTAATCCCAGCACTGGAGGTAGGAGGGTGGATGTGAGTTCGAGGCCAGTTTGAACTGCATAGTGAGACTCTGTCTTGAAACAAACATAAAAAAAGGGGGGGGGCTGGGGAGATGGCTCAGTGGAATAAGCGCTTCTCTGGCAAGTGCAAGGGCCTGAGTTCAATCCCCAGTTCCGGAAAAAAAAAAAAAAAAAAGAGGGCTGAATTGAAATGGGTTAAAGAAAAACATTCAGAGAGGAATTAGAGCCAACAAATACAAATAACTTTTTCAAGACTGTTTTAGGCTGGCAGCTAGGACAGTGAGGTTGACAGGATGCTAGAGGCCAGTCTGGGCTACAAAGTGAAACCCTGCCTCAAAACATTAAAAAAAAAAAAAAAAGAAAGAAAGAAATGATCCCAGCCCATTGGCCCACCCAGTGAGCAGTTGTTCCTGATTTCTTGACAGGAAAAGGAACGAGTCTGGGACTAGGATGAGACAGGAAGCACCTAGAATGCAGGGTAAAGAGGAAGTTGCTCCTAAATTGTGCCATTCTAGAGCAGCACTTGCACAAACTTACATTTTGTTTTCCTAATTCTGCCTCCGAAAAGAATTCTTGGAGTCTCTGTACCTCAGTACCCCTTGTGGTAAAGGAGGAGCATGTGCACCAGTGCGTACTTTTTCATTTTCATTTTGGCCCATGGTGCTTGCTTCAACAGCACACATACTATAATAATACATTTCGTCCCTCACTGAGCATGGCGCTGCACATGTCATCCCAGCACTGGGAAAACTGAGGCAGGAGGATCATTGTGAAAAAGTCCAACATCAGCCTGGAATACGTAATAAGACCCTGTTTCAACACCCCCAAAAATTGGTGCCCTCAATTATAACTTTTGGGCTTTATTATGGTAGTACTAGGAATTGAACCCACCAATTCCACAGCGCTCCTCAGCCCTTTTTATTTTGAGACAAGATGTCACTAACCTGCTAAATTGCCCAGGCTAGACTTGAATTTGTGATTCTCCTGTCTCAGCTTCCTGGGATTACAAGTTTATGCTACCAGGCCCAGTCTCTTACTAACTTTTGAAGTTTGTTACTACTTGATAAATAGGAGCTAAGCAAAAGATGTTTTTATCTTTTTTAGAAATTGAGGTTAAATTCATTTTGGCAGTTCGGTAGCATTGAGTGTATTCTGTTTTATTCAAACACTACTTCCCTCTCATTTCAAAATTTCTCAAAACCCAGGAAAAAAAAATCCATATGTGCTATTTCATTCCACCTCCTACTGCTTCCTGATAACTTGTGGCCTACTTTTTGTCTCTATGGAGTTGCCTATTCTGGATACACATGTCTTATAAAAGGTATCACATAGGGGCCAACTAGCTCAGTGGTGCAGCGCCTGCCTGGTATGCATGAGGCCCTGAGTTCCATTCCCAGTACAAAAAAAAAAGGGGGGGAGTATTACATAATAGTGATCTTTGGGGCTTATTCCACTTCACATAATTTTTTCACATTTCTATCCAAGTTTTGGGTGTTTTTTTGTTTTTTGAGCCAGGGCCTCACAATATAGTTCAGGCTGATCTTACATTTACTGTGTAGCCCAGATTGGCCTCTAGTTCTTGTGATCCTCCTGCCTCAGCTTCCTGAGTACTGCAATTATAGGGGCGATCTATCACATCCCGAATTGATGCTCTATGTATCCTGGATGTTAGACTCCAGGATATCTTCTCCCATTCTGTATGTTGTTATTTTAATTAATGAGTTTCCTTCGTTGTTTTTGTTGGCTAGGAGACAGCTGCTGTAATCCCTTGAGTATGGGTGCTATTAAAAAAATGGTTGAAGAGAAAATACCTGGAATTTATGTTTTGTCTTTAGAGATTGGGAAGAACATCAAAGAGGTAAGAACTTGGCAGCTCGCTTCATTGGAAGGCTTGCTTGCTGTTTCAGAAAATGTACTATCAGGATGCTTCAGCTTACATTTCCAGTAGCAAATGAGTCAGTGCACCTGGACCTTCTCTTCCTTCTAGTGTGTGTGGGTGTCAGCCTGCATGAGCTAACTTCTAGGAGAGATATCAGTGGTTGCTTTTAGTCCCATCTTTCACTTCTCTATGGCTCCTTTTGTAGGACATGGAGAACAGCTTCTTCTTGAATGTCAACTCCCAAGTAAGGACAGTGTGTCAGATTCTTGCCAATGATCCTAAACTGCAGCAAGGCTACAATGCTATGGGATTCTCCCAGGGAGGCCAGTTTCTGTAAGTACCAGAATTAATTCACTGCTCTGTCTTATTTTTTGGCAGTACTGGGACTCAAACATAGGGCCTTATGTACTAGGCAACCGAGGGTTCTACCACTGAGCCGCAATCCTTGTCTGAATCACCCAGGCCAGCCTGAAACTCGTGGTCCTCCTTTCTCAGCCTCCCTTGACCCCAGGAGCTGGGATTATAAGCATGTGCCATTGTGCCTGGCCACAGCTCTGAACTCTTGGGATCTTCCCCCGTCTCGAAAAGGAAATAATTATAAAATATCCCCGTGTAAGAAGCTTTATGGAGCTGAATTTATTTTCTGTGAAAAATGAAGTTTGGGTTTGACCATAGCAGATGAAAATCCCAGAACTTCCTCTAAGACTTTGGGGAGCTGCAGTATATTATGTAGCTTAATCTGTGGAGCAGATTTTGGATGACACATTTTCATCTGACAGTCAGCTGATAACCCATTTAATTTCTCTAGGAGAGCAGTGGTTCAGAGATGCCCATCACCTCCTATGATCAGTCTGATCACATTTGGGGCACAGCATCAAGGTAACTTTGGCCCCCATACCTCCTCTTTCCCTGTGCCAACCCACATGGTCACATTGTTCGTTTGTGGCAGAGTCTTGCAATGAAAGGCAGGTTGACCTTGCGTTCACTGTGCAGCCCAGGCTGGCTTCAACAGTGAATCTCCTGCCTCAGTCTCCCAAGTACAAGCATTATAAGTGTGTGCCATCACACCCAGCCACATGCATGACCACTTTGACTTCTAACAGTATGGTAGCTCTATTTGCTCGTAGGTCAACCATCCTTTAAAAGCCAGCATTGATGGGGTCACGGGAGAGACACAGCCTCCCAGAATCGTCTAATGACAGGGGAGTCAGTAAGTTGCTGTCTCTTCTCCAGTTTAATGGGTAGGATTTCGAGGAGGTCAGCTTTGAGTGGTAGCAGCACCTTAACCAGTGAGGTTTAGCTGAGGTGCAATCGTTGCTAATTGAAAGCTCTCACTGAGGATCAATGGTTGCAGCTGCATGGTAAGGAGTAGTAGCGGATTGAGGAAGATACAGTGGCTTTCCTTGTTTTCTTTTTTTTTAATTATTTATTTTTTGTATGTGGCCAGCTCAGCCCACCAGGGGGTGGGGCTGGCTGGCATGTGGTGCTGGGGGATTGAACCGCGATCCCTGTGCTTTGCTTGGCTTAGCTTGTTCTAAGTAGGTGCTTTAGACCACTGAGCCATCTCACCAGCCCCAGCTTTCTTTGTTTTCTAACATTGGTGTTGTGCTGTTGAATTTAGGTGTAGACAAAAAAATTATGTGTGAATTTTTTTGTCTATACATTTTATAATAGAGACCTTTGAAAAGTACCAGGTTTTTTTTTTTTGGTGAAACCAGGAATTGAACTAAGGCCCTTGTGCTTGCCAGAGAAGTGCTTATTCCACTGAGCCATCTCTCCAGCCCCCAGGTTTTGTGTTTAGACTGAATCATATATTTTGGGGGAAAGGATATGTGCTTTGGATAGACTTTACTCTCTCTCATCATGATTTTGTAAGTGTTAGCAGGTATGTTAGAAAACCTGTGTTCACCAGTTAACTGTCACTCCCAAGAAGGCAGTAAATCTTAGATCGTTTTCAAAAATGGGGGAAATTAAAATATGGCCCATCTTATGGAAATTTTTCAGAGAGTGAATTGAAATAATAGGAAAGTACTTTATAAAAGTACTTTATGTTGGTAAAAACAGATTATCATTTATTCAACAAATATTTGTCGAGAGAGACCAGTGATTATTGTTTTACTTTGTTTTTTTTTTTGAGATCTTGAACTCATTATGTAGCTCAGGCTAGCCTCCAACTCCTGCCTCAGCCTACCCTACTGAGTACTGGGATTATAGATATGCACCACCACATTGTCCACCTGGGTGATGGTAGGATAGGAGGTGGGGACTGCATGGAAAAGGTTAGACATCTCTGACTTCCATAAGCCAAGGCCCATAAGAGAAAGAGAGGCCGCCATGTGCTGTCATGTAGAATGGGCACCATCCCAACAACAGGGGCATAGCCTCCAGCCACAGATAGCAGCAGGAGCACAGGAAGAAGCATGTTATGTCGTTAGATTTTGGTGCTTCTGCAAGAGCTGGAGATTAGGGTCTTGTTCTTGCCTGTTTTTGTCACAGCACCCTTATCCCAGCAGATATTTGATGTATTGATGGATGGGTACTTTTCCTACCATAGGTGTTTTTGGATTCCCTCGATGCCCAGGAGAGACCTCTCACATCTGTGACTTCATCCGAAAAACACTGAATACTGCAGCTTACTCCAAAGTTGTTCAGGAACGGTGTGTATGTTAGCTGCAAGGACCCAGACCGCCGCTGTGTGAAAACACCATGCTCAGGTTCATGCTAACAGTTATTCTAGGAGTAACTGCTAGTGATATTCAAATGACATCTTTTATCTCTTAACTTCTCTCCTATTCTTTGCCCTGGTGCGTTTATACCCTTTAAATTCTGTTTGTGCTACTTTATTAACCATTTAAAGAAGAAGTGAAGATAAACACAGTCAATCTACCACTTTTACCTTTAGTCAGTGTTTGGGTGTTGATTCTCAGCCCTACTGGCTGTTCATTAATCATCACTAACACAATTCTGGTTACCAAGTGTTATGTTTTTATGTCCACAAAACAAAGAAATCCAAAGAAAGAGAATAGGTTTTTCTGAGGCATATAGGTAAGAAATAGAACAGAACACAATAAAAGTAGAGTACTTTTAGGTTTTAATACTTTAAAATTGAGCAGATAATGCAGATAAAACTATAAATATGTCATATAAATATGAAAGAGAAAAGAAAGTATGAAAATTGTTTTAGCAAAACAAAGGAACTTAAAGCCTTCCCATCAGTAGAGGGCAGCACTGCAAGAAGAAAAGAAAGCAGATTCACCTTCCCCAGCACAAGGAAGGCTCAGGAGCTGCTAAGATGCTTTGGAAGGTGGAATAGTGGAACTGAAAGCAGGACTTTGATTAGACTCCTCAGTTACTTGTGTGTGTATCCAAATGATTACTTTTCCTCCACATGCAAAGAAAAGCAAAACTGATTTTCTAGAGCAACTTACTTATAGAAACCCACACTTAGTGAAGACAAGGAAGGGTGGTGAGTTGCTGTCCTGAAAACCCATGCCCTGAACTCCTGCTTGTTCAGCCTGTAGAGTGATAGCAGCCAGGATTACTCCTGGAAGGCTGAGTTCAGAGGACTCCTGTTTGGAAAAGCTAACTGCAGAAAGACTGAGATGAGTCTGGAATCCTCCTTCCTGATCAGTATGTACAGAAGCCATTAGTACATACATTCTGTTAATCACTGCTGTCTATTGTATGAAGAACATCTAGTCAGCCTTGCGCTAGGTTTTAAATGTGAGTATTGAATCACAGACCCCCCAGACACTTGAAGAGAGCTTCAATATGAGAGAGAAGCTAAAATGAGCACAAGTAAAAAGGAACTTGGAAGACTGGGGAGATAGCTCAATGGTCTAAGCACCTGCCTGGCAATCCCTGGTACTGCGTGCCATGCCAGGTACATAGTGACCCTGTGCCAAGTAAATAAAAGACTGAAGAAAAAAAAAAGAACTTGAGAAAAATAGATGACAATTGAAGCAGGGGAAAAAAAAAAAACTGGAAAAAGCCTGTATATTTGGCCCTCCAGATCTTCAGGTTCTACTTCCATGGATTCATGCAATCTCTAGTAAAAGTATTATTTTTAATAGTCTGCAGTAAGCCTGTATAAACTAGCTAGAAAGCAAAGTACAGACCTTTGTAATCTGAGGGGAGATAATTTCCAACCTACTATTGTGTATGTTTCCCCAAGAAGCCTTCAAGTGTAAAGAAAATAAAGTTACTACATTTTTCAGACATGCAAAAGGATGAAAAAATGACCTGTACCCTTTCTGGGGTTCTTTTTGAGAGCCTCAATTCTACCACCATCTTTCTGTGTGGCACTGGGCATCTTTGAATCTTATTTTCTTCCACCTTAGCAATTGGTATACTTTGCTGTTGATGTGTTGTGTGAATTAAAATAAGTGAGTATAAAGTATTTAGTGTAGTGCTCGATTGATACTAATTAAGTGGATTTTTGTTATCACTGGGGTAGCATCCTCAAAATATTTAACTTCAAATTTTGGTCCTTTATTAGTATTGTTTTCCTTTTTAGTTGTACTTGTAAAGTAGTTAATTTCATTAAATATTGAGTTATTGCTATTTTCAGGCTCTATTGTAGGTCTTGTGGATATAATGAGAAAGACAGTCACATGCTTGTGGGGAGAGGGATAAATGGTCACCATAGAGTATCTCTAGTGCTGGAACAGGAATAACAGGCAGCAGTGATCGGGAAGTAATGGAGAACCTGCTGGGGACATGATGGTCTTTGAAGAGACCTTGAATCTTGTGAAGGAAGAGATAAAAGGAGCACAGGAGGCAGATTAGCAGTTGGCTTTGAGACCCTGAGGCTGGGACAGGTTTGGCTTAGTCTAGACCAGGGGAACAGAGATGGTGATGGGTGGCAGAGTTGGATAGGAAAGCAAGAGCTGTGTGAGGATTTGTAGACCTGGTAAGGAGTGGGATTCTATTCCAGGCAGCCTGGAAAGCTGTTGGGAGGCTTCAGGCAGAAAGATGGTATGGGCTGATCAGTGGTTTTGCAGTGGTCCGGGTGGTTTGGCCAATAGGGTAGAGACAGTGAAGCCAGCCTGGACTACATACGGAGTTCAAGGCCAGCCTGAAGTACAATAGTGAGACCCTCTGTGCCCCCCCCAATGCCAAAACTGCATTTGATCAGGGTATAGTGGCACACACCTATAATCACAGTGCTCAGGAAGCTGAGGCAGGAGGATTGCTGCAATTTCTGCTATTATTTTTTAGGTTTAGTAAGCAAAGAGTTGATGTTGAAAATACTGATGTTAGCCTGAGTTCAGATCCAGGTAAAAGAAAGAAAAAGAAGAAAGGAAGGAAGAAGGATTGATTCTAAACACTCAGTATACATTTGATGTTTTACATATGATGCTTCATTTTCCAACTAAGTACACATCATATAATAGGAAGCTCCTGACAAAATAGGAAGGCAAGGAACGTGCAAAGTATGGCCTGCCAAACAGGAAAAGAAAGCTAAGCACACATGCTCAGTGCGAGACTTGTGTATGCAATATGCTATTGTCTTGTGTGAAAATTGCCTTAAAGGTGTGATAACTGAAGTAATGGTTATCTCTGTAGTAGAGTTTTGTTTTCATTGTAGTTCACATAGGAATTTATTTCTACTGTTATTTTTAGATGTTTTTGTTGTTGTTATCAAGAATCAAACTTAGGGCCTTGTGCTTACTAGGCAAGCTCTGTGCCACTGAGCTATATCTCTATCTCAATTTTTAGATCTTATAAGCAGGTAAACAGTTGATGTTGAAAATATTGATGTTTATTCTATATACTCATTATGTATTAAAAATTTAATATTTTACTGATACTTTATTTCCTTATTAAGCATGCATTGCTTAACATAATAAAACTCAAAATCAAATAATTCATCAATAGAAACGTTGCTAAAAAATATGGACATTATATACCCTCCATATTACCCCCTTAAACAAAATTTGGCATTAAGACTTGCCTTGTTAGATGTGTTGTACTCCTACCTGTCTGTGGTGTGTTTTGTTTATGGTGCTTTTGGGTATAGCAGGTTTTTTGTTTTGTTTTCTTGCTGTTGGAGTTGGAGCCCAGAGCACTACATACACTAATCACATACTCTACCACTGAACTACACCCTCAGCCTAAGGTTTGTTTTTTTTTTTAAGAATCCATTTATTTATTTATTTATTTATTTAGTGGGGGGGTGGCTCAGCCCACCAGGGGGTGGGGCTGGCTGGCATGTGGTGCTGGGGGATTGAACCGTGGTCTCTGCTTTGTTAAGCTTGTTCTAAGTAGGTGCTTCAGACCACTGAGCCATCTCACCAGCCCATCAGGTTTGTTTTTAATGGCCTTTTTGAGATGTAATTCAAATATTTATAGTTCATCCATTTAAAATATATAATTTATTGTTTTTTGGTATATTTCATTATTAATTTTTTTAAGTTAATGTAAGAGGTATCATAAGACTTGCCTTTTTTATTGTTGTTTTGTTTCACTGTATAGTTCAGGCTGGCTTTGAACTAATAGTGTTCTTCCTGCCTCAGCCTCTAAAATGCTGGTATTACAGGCATATGCCACTGGGCCTGGCAGTTTTTCAGTCTATATCATTGGTACATAGAGGTATTTCCCTATTCTGTCTCTTCCTCTTAATTTTTTTCTTTCCCTTTTTTTCTAATTTTAAAAAAGTTTTGTTTCTCATTCTTATGTTTTTATTTACTTGGATGTTCTGTGCTTCCATCTGTTTCTGTGCAGTTGATTTATTTGTCTATCACTGCTCCATTATTTTACTTACTGTAGTAACTTTCAGCTAACTCTTCAAGTGGTAGAGCACTAAGTTCAATCCCCAGCACTTCCAGAAAGAAAAAACTCTTGGGGTTTCAGGAGTTAGACTTCCTTAGAGTGTTTCAGTGTTACTTCCACACATCTTGTGCACTTTTGCTCTCTTTGGGCTATTGGGCAGCAAGTTGCCTGTACACTGTGCCCTCTACTGGTAGCTGGCATATCTTAATTTTTACAAGCTCAAAGAGAGGCAAAGTATTTTTTGATCCCAATCGAGTTCTGTGGGACACATGACAGTGCAGCGTAGCTAAGCTGCCCAGATCCCCTTCCGGCGCTGTGTGTCTGTGCAGTATGACCTTGGCTAGCTCCGTAATCATAGTGAGTGAGACTGTCTCGTTTGCAGACATTGGAATGGTAATAGACTGGCTCATGGAGTCATGCAGGATTAAATAGGTTTATTATAGGTAAAGTGCTTAGAATAGGCCTGGTAAGTGAAAAGTCCTTTAGAAGTGACATTGTTCTCTCTAAACCACATGGCTTAGAGCAGGCTCAGGTGGCAAAGACTTGTCTCAGTGGCTGTAGTCTATGGTTGGGCAGCTATCCTTTCTCCTGCTTCAGTGTCACACATTGCTAAGTGTGTAGAATCTGGTTGAGGCCTCTTGCTTACCTTCACTGCAGCTGTGTAGCTCAAGGAGTGTCGCTGAGCCTCTCCAAAGCTGCCCTTCAGGGGCCCATGAGCCAGTGGGAGCACAAACTGCTTCTGCTCCGTGTGCTTCCCAGCACCTGCTCCTGAGCACTTCCAACCTCTGATCCTCCACCCCTTGGCCATCCCACGAGTACCAAGTTTCTTCCCAAACAAAATAACCCTCCTGCTTCCTTCCTCCCCTTAGCTTTTTTTTTTAAATTTAATTAATTAATTAATTAATTTGTGTGTGTGTGTGGCCAGCTCAGCCCGCCTGGGGGCGGGGCTGGCTGGCATGTGGTGCTGGGGGATTGAACCGCGGTCCATGTGCTTTGCTAAGCTTGTTCAAAGTAGGTGCTTTAGGGCTGGAGAGATGGCTCAGTGGTCTAAAGCACCTACTTGAAACAAGCTTGGCAAAGCACAGGGACCGCGGTTCAATCCTCCAGCACCACATGCCAGCCAGCCCCACCCCCTGGTGGGCTGAGCTGGCCACACACACACACACAATAAATAGATGTAATAAATAAAAATAAATAAATATTAAAAAAAAAAAAAAAGTAGGTGCTTTAGACCACTGAGCCATCTCCCCAGCCCCTCCCCTTAGCTTTTGTTTCTCACTTCACTCTTTCCTTCTCAGCTATTAGGCCTCTCTACTATAGTTCTGGGTCCTGGGTCCTGGCCTAATAATCACTTCCTTGTTTGCTTGAGTGGTTATGGGCCACCTCTGAAGGTGCGTGCGCTCACTCAGTGCTCCTGACTTCACAGCATCTGGTAATGTTTCCCCACCAGCCCTGCTGTGTGTGGGGATCATACCCAGGGCTTCCAGTGCCTTGTGAACTATTTATGGATCGAAGTCTTTCTTCCTTTTATTTTTGTTTAAAAAGACATGAGAAGAATTTATTAGAGATAGATGTAGGATCCACTCAAGAGCAGGTACTTAGAGAAATGAGGCACAGTACACTTGGGAACCGAGTCAGGACTGCCCAAGGGAGCAGCTCAGCTGTTCTCTATCATGTCTAGAACAGATGTCCTTGTTTCTGGAACTTGGCTATAGTAACAGCAGATTAAGGAGGCAGGAAAAGAAGGTGTACACAATATCTAGGTTTTACTCAAAAATTTATCCTACACATCTTTGTAACTAGGGAACTATAGTACACACACACACACACACACACACACACACACACACACACACAGAATTCATGGGCTTTGAGAAGTTTGGAGATTTTGCTTGGCACAGATCACATCAAGGAAAACAGAGGCCATGTACCACTTTCGCATGTGCTGTTCCCTCTCTCCCTGGTAAATAATAACAGAGGAAAAAATAAAAGGATTGAGTTTTCTGACAGATGAAAGCCTGAATGGGAAAGCTTATGAGGGGATTATTGTTTCCTGGAAGAGCGGAGGAAAAAGAAAGCAACCAACAGACACCTTCTTGGTCTGAGTCCATAGCCCTCACCAAGTCCTATGGACAGTATCAGCAAACACCTGATCACCAGTCACTTGAACCTGCCTGGCTAAGGACAGGACCTCAGCCACTCTAAAGGAAACCTGCATCATTTGGAATGAGCTCATGCCCTGTATTACTGTAGAATATGAAAGAGATCAAAAGAGTAGTTTAGAGAAACTCCCTCAAGCTAAATATTTGTAGGTCCCCACAGGTGTATATGCTCTTGGAGATGGCTTTGTCCAGTATGACCTGTAAGTTGTTATCTCCACTGTGTCTCAGCTTTGGGCTTCCCATGCCGGGTTGCAAAAGAAACTTCACTTGAGACCCTGGATGGGGTCTTCATCTTGATTTTGTGTGTCATTGGTTGAGCAAGATTGTTAAGGGTCCCATCTAACTAGGGTGTGTGTGGTGCTAACCTAAAGGAACCTCCCCACCTGCCTTGGGCTTTGCCTTTTGACACTTCATCCTGTTTTTGGTTGGAGGGAACAAGTGCCTCCTGTCTTCAGTGCTTTTGTATACAAGCACTCATTTTCTAGGGCTTAGATGTCTCTGGCTCCTGGGAAAGAAAGAAAAAAAGACCCCATAAAGAAAAAAAGACCCCATGCTGCACAAGAAGAGAAAGAGAAAAAGATAAGCTGCTATTCAATAGCAAATGGGTTGGGAGAAAACTATACTTCAGAAAAAAGCTAAACTTCAGAGGGCAAGAAGGGGGCAAAATGGCCAAGAAAGAAAATAACTAACTAAATCCCTTTTGGCTGGACTTAGCAAACCAAAGCTGCCATCTCTGCAGTCTCTGTCTCTTTTTAGGTCCCTTCTTCCTATCTGAGGGTGAAGCCTTGGAATGTCCATGCACTGCAGCATACCCCAGGTGATCGGACTGATAAGTACCATGGTCACTTTTATCCCTTTTTCTTCCTGCAGTCTGGTGCAAGCAGAATACTGGCATGATCCCATAAATGAGGATGTGTATCGCAAACACAGCATTTTCCTGGCAGATATAAATCAGGAAAGGGTAAGTCATTGACCAGGCACCCATGGTTAGGCATTCATTTTTCTGTTGGGACACTGAGAACAAATTAGCATTCACATTTATCCAGACTGTCCAGGACAGAAGCCAGAGCCAGAAATTTCAGTTTGGGGAAGGCAGTACTCATGAGTCAGCCCCAGACTCTTGTTTTAAGAAAGCTAGAGTTCATTTGGCCTTCCTCCCTGAAGTCTCCTTCCTGGTGTGGGAGCTGTGGGACAAGGTCTGGAGAGTGCTGACTGCCTTCTGAGGGGAGCCTTCCTAGTGTACCCATTTGGAATGGATTTTCTCAGGGGAGAGAGTTAACCAAAAGAGATTCTGCAGAGGGCATGCAAGTGTTGAGGTCACAGGCATGGTTTGGGGAGGGTCTTGTAAGTAGGATGGCTCAGTTTGTATTTAGATTACCTGGGTGGAGCATTTAAATTTTTTTTTTTTTAAACATTTGAAGGGAAAAAAATTAAACCAAACCAGAAAACAATATAGAAGAGTGTAGCAGAACCACCCAAAATTTGCTGTTTATTTCCCCTTAGCAAGAAGCCTTGAACCTACATGGTAGATACCTGTGGAGTGTAGACAGATTCTTGGTGGCACCTTTTGCCATGGTTGGTGGTATGTCAGTCAGATAGGATGGTCTGAATGGCTGCTGAAGGTGCGTTCTGGTCAGGACACTGGAATGGGGACCCAGGCTGAGGAGACCAGAGCACTGAGTCTGATCCCCCTGCTGGAACCTGACAGTAATGATGATGCTGGCTTTTTTTTTCCCCCCAGAGTGTCAATGAGTCCTACAAGAAAAACCTGATGGCCCTAAAGAAGTTTGTGATGGTGAAATTCCTCAATGATAGCATTGTGGACCCCGTAGACTCTGAGGTGAGAGACTGCCTACACCATAACATGGAAGGAGGCTGTAAGAGTCAGTGGCACAATCATATAACTGTCTACAGCACAGAACCCTTCAGTCTCTGAGGCCCACCAGTGTGACACGGTTGTAACCCCCCAATTCCATTCTAAACCTGATGGGAGGGGCTATAGTTTCAATCCTATTTCAGACATCTTAGTGACCTAAAAAGGCTCAGAATCACTAGCAGAAAATCTGTAAACCCCTCATCTTTGCCTTCTAGGTCTGCTTTGATTTGGCTTCATCTGCCTATGGTCCTTCTAGCTTCTTCTTCTTCAATCCAGCCATATCATAGCATGTGATACACCCCAGGCTTGTCATTTGCTTCTCTTGCATATGACTGGCTTTACCTGACAGTTTGATAGTTATGTGTCAAACACAAATGTCACTTCCTCTAGATGCCATCCTCTTCCAAGCAGAATTTGCTCCCTTTTTTCTGAGATTACCAGCCTCTACAAAAGTCTTTATATTGTCACACCAGCAGGGGCTGGCAGCCTGATTGTTGGATAGCTTGTGAACAAAGCATGTTTTCATATTTAAATGGTTGGAAAAAATCCAAATAATATTTATGATGCAAAAATTATGTGAAGCTCAAATTTCCATCTCTATAAGTGAAGTTTCCTTGTGAAACAATCATATACATTTTTTTAAGGGCACGGGAGATGTTTTTATTTTTACAGTAGTGAGGATTAAGCCCAAGGACTTGGCATTGAGCAACTTTCCCAGCACTATTTATTTTTTTGCAATGGGATCTTACTAAATTGCTCAGACTCCTGCCTTGACCTCCAAGAGTACTGGAATTATAGGCTTGTACCACCTTGCCTGTTGTACTCATGTTTTATATATTGTCTACAGATGCATTTGTGTTACAGTGGTAGCTGCACCCATATAGCCCTTATAGCCTGAAAATATTTTGTATCTGACCTTTACAAAAAAAAATTTTTGTTGGGCTGAGATAGCTCAGTGGTCTAAGCACCTGCCTAGCAAGTGCAAGGACTTGTGTTTGATCCCCAGAACCACATGCCATGATGGCCACCAAAACCAGGCATGGTGGCACATGCCTATAATCCCAGCACTGGGGAGGCCGAGACAGGAGGATCATTGCAAATCTGAGCTACATAGCAACAACTTGTACCAAATAAATTAAAAAAAAAAAAAAGACTTTGCTAAGCTAGAAGCTTCTTGGGGAAAAAAACATACTCACCTTCAAATGGCTAGAGTTCAGCACAGGGCTTTTCAGAGTTAGCATATAGTAAAGGAAGCAGAAGTTTTGCAGAAATAGGGCCAGCCAAATAGCTCAGTGGATTAAAGCGCCTCCAAGCAGGCACAAGGGTCAGGGGTTCATGCCTGGGCCTGCCATGCCGGCCCCGCCCCCAGGGCACACTCAGAGTCCAACTGAGATTGGGTGTGGTGGCATTCTCCTGTAATCCCAGCTCTTGGGAGGCTGTGAACAGTCGGATCAGTACGAATATGATCTAGTAGTGAGACCCTGAACACCCTGTAGACCCCTCCCTAAAATACAAAAAAGTTTTGAAGAAATGAACTTTAAAAAAAAAATGTATTTAGGACAGTGTCTATAGGGTCTCACTATGCAGATCAGACTCATAATGATTCTCCTGTTTTCAGCCTCCCAAATGTTGGGATTGCAGGTACACACTACCACACCCAGTTTCAATCCCAGTCTCAGCGCACCCCAGGGGTGGGACCAGCATGGCACACTGGGGATCAAACACCAGCCACTGCGCTCTGCCTAAGCAGGCGCTTTAGTCCGCTGAGCTATCTGGCCAGCCCTGAAATGTACAACTCTTGGGGAAGATTTATACTTCAGGATTGGCTTTTATTTTTATTTATTTTTTGATGTTCTTGAAATGGGGTCTTGCTAAGTGGTTCAGGCTGTCTTGCACACTGTGTAGTCCAGGCTGGCCTTGAACTTAGAGATCCTCTTGCCTCAGCCTACTAAGTGGTGAGCTTATAAGCATGTACCACCACACCCAGCTAGGATTGGCTTTGAAATAAAAGTGAGTCAAGACATAGCCTTTAAAAAAAAGACATCCCCGGGGCTGGGGAGATGGCTCAGTGGAATAAGCGCTTCCCTGGCAAATGTAAGGGCCTGAGTTCAATCCCTGGTTCCGGAAAAAAAAAATAAAGACATCCCCATTTCCCCCTCCCCCCACCCCCGGGTCTTGCTGTGTAGTCCAGGCTTGCCTTGAACTCATGGCAAGCCTTGTGCCTGTCTTAAATCCTTAGATTACAGACTTGTGCCACCATATTCAGTTCCCATTCTTGCTTGCTATACATAGCTTTATGATGTTCACTTTCTTCGCAGTCTTAGGTACAAGCCAGTTTCAAATGAGTTCAATAGTGTATGCTTGGTATCTCTGTTCTGACCTGATCTTTTTTCTTTCTCTCCTGCAGTGGTTTGGATTTTACAAAAGTGGTCAAGGCAAAGAGACTATTCCCCTACAGGAAACTACTTTGTATACAGAGGTAACTGGGAGGGAGTTACACTTTGGAAGGTGGGCGCTATCTCATTCAGCTCCTGGTATCTGATGGTGGTGGGATCTCAGGTGCAGGAACCCTGCACTGTCCACCCCAAAGCAATAGTCCCTCACTTGTGTCTGGTATGGGCGAGGCCTCTTGGGCAAGGCTCTGGTTTATAGAAATTTACCACATCCTAAGGAAAGACCGTATCTTATGACTTTCATGCAGAAGTAAGGGAAACATCATATTTAAGGTTTTCCTTTTAAATAAAAAGTTGGAACTTGCTGCTGGCTTGGAGGTTCAGTTGGCCACAAATCTAGGAAGCCCCATATCAAAGAAAACACGTAAGAGTACCACTTTATAGCAGTCATAGATGGAGAAATTCTGCTTTTAAATTAGACATGGTAAAGGGCTTGCCAAATGGCTCAGCAGATTAAAGGACTGTAAGCAGGTGCAGGGGCCAGGGGTTCAATGCCTGGGCCTGCCATGCTAGTCCCACCCCCAGGGCACCTCAGAGTTCAGTTGAGACTGGGCGTGGTAGCGTTGGCCTGTAATCTCAGCTTTTGGGAGGCTGTAAACAGTTGGATCACTACGAGTCCGATCTAGTAGCGAGACCCTCAACACTCTTCCCTAAAATATAAAAAAAGAGAAAAACTTAGACCTGGTGCGCTGGGGGTGAAGCTCAGTAGTAGAGTATGTGGTTAACATGCTTGTTTTGATCCCTAGCACAAAAAATAGCTCAGTATATTTGATACTGACAAGGGGTATAATTTTGCCTGCAGTAGTGAGTGGAATTTTGCGAATTTTCTTTAGCAATAAGTCCTATTTCTCAAAAAAATGGCAATATCTCACCACTTTGTTACAGACCTGCCAAATTCAAAGGAATGTATATTGAAGATGGACTATCTCATAAAAGCACAAGGCTATCACTGATCAGTCACCTTCCACTAGAGTTCTTCCACTAATTTGAGGTCATTTTCTCTTAGATTTTTCTCTTGCATTTAGGGTCCCAGCTTAGGTGAGGTTAAAAAAAAAAAAAAAAGCTAGGTTCTGATAAAAATTTAGGAAATTACAGCTGAGAACTTACCATGAAACTTAAACTGGTGGTAACCACAGCAGCACTGTTTTGGCCCTGCCACAGTGGTTCATTTTCCTAACCGGAGGTGGTTCATGCATCTAGGCTGTCTTTTAATTGGAGTGTATGGAATTGTTCTGGCTTATCTATGGTAAGGACTAGCCATATCTTACCTTAAAAATGTTACCTAGTTTTCTCATGTTGGCTTAGTCCTAATTAGGCTTATCCTACTCTGATGTTTTCAGTTTTATCTATGAGTTGCCTGTCTATGGACAAACTTGAAATTAGGGGTTAAGAAAATAACTCAGGAGCACATGTGAGGCTCCAGGTTTGATCCCCAGCACTGCAGGGTACAAAACAAGAGACTATGACTGTATAGAACCATGTCGACTATGCATGCATTTTCAGTGCTTAGAAACTCGAAGAAGGTATTTTTTGACATTTTCAGCAGTATACCCATTTTAATACTAATGGACAAAACTGCATTTTGAAAATGTATCTCAAGCTAACATTGTATTACTTTACTCCAAAACCTTTCATTAAACCTCAATTGTGGCCTTTCCCTCTGTAGGACCGCCTGGGGCTAAAGGAAATGGACAAAGCTGGAAAGCTAGTGTTTCTGGCTACAGAAGGAGACCATCTTCAGCTGTCTAACAAATGGTTTTATGCTCACATCCTACCCTTCCTTAAATGAAGCCCTCGAAGTTTCTAGCAGAGCTCAGGGCATCCCTAACTCTTCCAAGTCACTTGAAAGTTTCCTTCCTGGCCAATCCTGAGCTCAGATCAGCTTGCAACTAATCCTCTTCTGTTATCATCTAGCATGCCCTACTTGGAAAGATCGAAGATCTGAATCTTATCCTTTACTGCCTCCTATCACCATATGGTGTTGAGTTCAAGTTTAATTAGTTAATAACAAGGGAGATTGTTTTACGAACTTGTGATGTGATCAAGCTGTTTCAGGAAAGGGAGTTTGCTGTGCATTGGTGCCAGAATTGTGTCCAGGGCCAGGGGTGACTGAACAAACGAGTGAGGGGAAACATCTGACCACATTTGAGGCAAATAGAAGGCCATGGGACCGGGGAGATGGCTCTGTAGAATAAGCGCTGCCCTGGAAAGCACAAGGGCCCAAGTTCAATCCATGGTTCCGAAAAAAAAAAAAAAAAAAAAAAAAAAAAAGCCAGGACCAAGGCATGAGGTACTACACAAATACCATCTCAGTGTTACTAATGGGAGATTTAACTAGTGCTCAAAAGGTATCATTTGGAGAGTTTCTGTGTAATTTAAGGCTGTTTCCTGGTATCTTAGCAGTTACTAGACAGATACATCCAGCCTGCCATCTTCCCTCTCCATAGCCCATTTTGTCTTCTCAGGTGGTGATAAATTAGTTGCTATTACAAAAGGAGAGAAGTAGCTCTCAATGGGGATTGCTTTGGAACAGAAACATACAGCTTACATAAATTAAGACATTGGGGATGGGGTGATGATGTACTAGCCTGGGGTGAAAATGAGGTGGTTGGTGTTTCCTGCTCCTTCATTATGATCTACCCTTACAGTGCACCTAGAAGCCTGGTTGCTAAGTCACTGTGGCTGTCTTTAGCAAAGAAATAGGGGGACAATGTAGAGACCAGGCTTTCTAAATTGTCTCCCAAAGCCTCACTTACCAGCTTCCTCTAAAATAACGCTGTGCTGTGAGAAAAAAAAAAAAACACTTGAAGAGGCAGGAAGCTTGTGAGTACAGCTGGGGCAACTTTGAGCTGGGGTCTTGTTTTGTGTCAGGCTGGCATCAGATTTGTGATCCTCATGTCTCCATTTCCCAAGTGTTGTCAGGTAGCTCATCTTGGGCAGTCTGAACCAATATCCCCTATCTCAAAATATAAAGGGTTGAGTGTGTAACTCAGTTGTAGAGTGCTTTCCCAGGATGACAAGGCCCGGATTTGATTCCCAGGACCTCAAAAAAAAAAAAAACTTTTACCTCTTAGAAACCAACTCACATTAGACTAAGGACTGAGAATTCTTTATGGTTAGTACAGAAACCATTAATGTACTGCTTCCTACCTTTCTTGAGCATAGAAATCTTAGCTTCTGCTTGAAGACCCATCAACACATTTTGGATGACTTCTATAGAATGCCAGTTTGGAAATCATCAAGCTGTTTTCATTAAAGTACTGTAGAATTTTTTTTTTCACCCTCTCAGTGTTAAACTAAAAGATATGAATTGAGATTGTCTAAAATAAATAGTAGTTTCCTATCCTGGGTGTCATTTTTCTTTTCAATACATTTACATTATATAGAAAACAGGTAAATAAGTTTGGTATTAACTTTATTCTATTTTCTGTATAACTTTTAAGTACATAAAGGTTTATTTCCACAGGCCTCAGGAAACAGAAGTCACAGGACAATCTCTCTTCCCACCAAAAAAAGATTGCATATTTTGGTGTGTCCTACAGGGGTAAAACTGAAACATAAGCAATGCTGAATAAGGTTCTTACATAAATCAAGAC